CAGCAGGGAGATGAAGATTCCAGTGAAGGAGCTGCTTTACATAAAGGGACAAAGGGAGAAGGTAGGAAGTGTGGGACCACATCAGATAGGACCTGTAGACATTCCTGAGCATAGGAGGCAGTGCTTCCCCATCTGGAGTACTGTCACCCCATCTGGTCCCCGAGATATGCTAGGGACTGTCAGTTGGTTGAAAATGTTCAAAGGAGGGCCACCAGACTGGTGCCTGCACTTCGGCACCTCAGCTACCCTGAGAGATTGGAGCGCTTGAACTTGCCTAGCTTATACTACAGACGGGCAAGGGGGGACCTAGTTGAGGTATATAAGCATCTCAGGGGGCACTACTCAGTCGAGTGTCCTTACTTGGAGCTGGCGGACGCTCGCCCTACAAGGGGTCACAGCTCAAGATTGAAGAAGCCGCAAGTCCAGAAAACTGTGAGGGCAAACTTTTTCGGAGTGAGGGTTGTAAACTCTTGGAACAATCTACCAGAGAGTGTTGTGATGGCACCGAGTGTGAGCTCTTTCAAGACAAGACTTGACCAACACTGGAGCGGGTTCAGGTATATTCAGGAGCCAGTGCATGCCCAGTATTTGCCAATTGTGCATGATAGAGACGTGACCGATCACCCGGGCGGCTAGCGAGCCAATCTTTTGGTGAAGAAGATAAATGAAAGGGAAAAGTAATCAGAGACGTGATCGATCGCCCAAGCGGCTAACGAGCCGATCTGTGGCGAAGAGGATAAAAGTAAAAAGTAAAAGAGGCTAATAGAATGGAGGTGGTTGCTAAGAGGAGTTATGCGGACGTATTAGGAGGGCCACGGGGGGGGGCGGAGAGTAATGCAGAATCAGTACAGGTTCTACAGCAGATTGGGACTCTGAAAAAGTGTGTCGAAGAAATGAAAATTAACGCACCTACTGTTAGGGGAGAGGAGGAACACCAGGAACGGCTCCAGCGCAGGAACAATATAATAGTTTTTGGAGTCCCAGAGAGCCAGGCAGAGGGAACTGTGAGTAAGGAAACACACGACAAGGTGCTGTTTCAAAATATTTGCACAGAGGTTCTGAAGATTCCAGCAACCCCTCAGGATGTGAGGAGACTGGGACAAAAGCAGGGGGCTAAGCCTCGCCCCCTCAGGATCACACTAGGGAGTGAGGAGGAAAAATGGCAAATTATCCAGCAGGCAAAAAACTTAGCAAGGAGCGAGGCATTTCGGGATGTATTTATTCACCCAGACCGCACGGTAATGCAGAGGGAACAGCACAAGAAGCTCCTGCTGGACTTGAAGCAGAAGAGGGAGGAGTCGAGGAGGAACGGGGACAGGTGCACATGGGTTATACTCAGGGGGAGGGTAGTGGAAACAAGTGTGCCGACACAGGGCCAGGGGGCAGCAGTGCACCCTCCACCCACTCAACCCCCCACACGGGAGGCGGCACCAGCTCAGCCTACCGGACAGGAGGGAACGAGCGCCGTGTAAACAATGACATTTTTAACCACACCCTGCAAAATACAGTGTACTTAGCAAATGCTGCAGCTTCTGAGAATGTGGGTGGAGCGGGTTTATTACTAAGAGCAGAGACGTTACCGAGAACAAATTCTGGCTTGATTGTCATGTACACTAATACCGACACGTTCCTTGATAAGAGGGAGGAGTTTGAAACACTACTAAGAGTACACCAACCAGATATTGTAGGAGTTGTAGAACTGTTGTACAAGAACAGGAGAATCGACCCAGAGGAATGTGAGTTCAGTATTGCTGGATATGACTCATTTACGAACCTAACTCAAGAATCCTGCAGGAGGGGTGTGGTTATCTACGCTAGGCAAGACCTTAGAGCCAGCCAGGCGAGGGTACAGGGAGAGGATGTTTTTGAAGAGTCCAAGTGGTGTAAAATTAAATTAAAGGGAGGGGACTTACTTATCGTCGGGTGTATCTACAGATCCCCGAACTGTGGCCCACTAAATCAAAGGAACTTAAGAACCTTAATAAACAATGCGGCGATGCTCAACCCCAGCCACCTCCTTATCATGGGGGACTTTAACTATGGCGACATCGACTGGAGAAACGAGTCAACCCCGAATGACTTGAATAATCCTGCTACTCTTTTTGTAGAAACTCTGAGAGATAATTTTCTGTTCCAACATGTGAGAGACCCGACACATTACAGAGGGGAGCAAACACCCAAGCCACTTGACCTCATCATAACAAACGAGGAGGGTATGGTGGCCAAACTGGAACACCTTGCCCCAGTTGGCACCAGTCACCATACAGTGTTGTCATTCAGATTTAACTGTTACCTAGTTCAAGATAAGGCCAGGCCAAGGTGCAAATATTACAAGGGAAATTACAATGGGATGAGGGAAGAGATGAGGGGTATCAACTGGCCTGACTTATTAAGGTACAAGAACGCAGACACTACGCTGAATATCATAACTAGTAAAATGACCCATTTGATCGATAAATATATACCCAAGACCAAACCCAGTGCTTCTAGGAATACGAGGGGATCCCTACACATGAACCATGCGGCGGTCGACAAAATTAAGAAGAAAACCCAGAAATTCAAGACGTGGGTTGGGTCAAACGATGAGCAAGACAGGAGGATGTATGCAAGAGCCAGAAACCAAGCAAAGATAGAGTGTAGGAGGGCTGAAAAGGAGTTCCAAAGGCTGGTTGCACGCGAGGTCAAGTCAAACCCAAAGGCGTTTTACCGCTATGCAAAGTCGAAATTGAAAACGCGAGTAGGAGTATCAGACCTGAGGCTTGAAGATGGTAGTTACGCAGATTCTGACCAGGATAAAGCTGAGGCATTGAACAGCTTCTTTTCCTCAGTGTTCACAAGAGAGGATGCAACTAACCTTCCTGCGTTTGAGGACAGACGGTTCGACACAGCACTGACCCACATTGTGTTCACAGAAGAGGGTATTAGAAATAAACTGTCCAGGCTAAAGGTCCATAAGAGTCCTGGACCTGACATGGTGCATCCTAGAGTGCTAAGGGAGCTGTGCAACGAGCTTGCAGAGCCCCTGAAGATTCTGTTTTGTAAATGCCTGGATGAACAAATGGTCCCCAGTGAATGGAAAGTGGCTTATGTGAGTCCTATCTTCAAGAAGGGCGATAGGCACTCCACGAACAACTATAGACCGGTGAGCCTGACCAGCATAATATGTAAAGTACTTGAGAGTATTATCAGAGATGCAGCGATGGAACATCTACTACGAAACAACCTTGTAAAAGATTGCCAACACGGTTTTATGCCGGGGCGCTCTTGCTTGACACAATTGCTCAAGGTATTGGATATTTGGACCCATATTCTAGAACGGGGTGGTAATATCGACAATATTTACCTAGATTTTGCCAAGGCTTTCGACAGTGTACCCCACGAAAGGCTGAAAATCAAACTGGAAGGGTACGGAATTCGGGGAAATGTCCTAGCGTGGATAGAAGACTTTCTACATGACCGCAAGCAATGTGTGGTGATTAATGGCACGAAATCGTCATCTGTACCTGTAACAAGTGGGGTACCGCAGGGTAGTGTATTGGGCCCGCTGTTGTTTGTTTGTTTCATAAATGATATGCCTGACGTTGTACACTCCTCCATACAAATGTTTGCCGATGACGCCAAGTTATTTCGGGAAATTAAGAACCAAGCGGACTGTGAAGAGCTGCAGAAGGACCTCTGTGGGCTCCAGGAATGGTCGAAGGAATGGCTGCTGAGATTCAATGTCACGAAGTGTAAGAGGATGCACCTGGGGCGTACCAACGGTAAGGAGGCGTACCATATGTCCCAACGGGATGAAGAAAATGTACTAGTTGAGACTGTGTGTGAGAAGGACCTAGGTGTGTATGTTGACAATGAGCTGAAGTTCTCGGGCCATTGTGAGAAGAAGGTAAATCAGGCAAATAAATTATTGGGTCTTATAAGAAGGTCGTTCAGATATCTAGACGGTCCGTCCCTCGTGACGATCTTCAGGAGTGAAGTGCTTCCCCATCTGGAGTACTGTCACCCCATCTGGTCCCCGAGATATGCTAGGGACTGTCAGTTGGTTGAAAATGTTCAAAGGAGGGCCACCAAACTGGTGCCTGCACTTCGGCATCTCAGCTACCCTGAGAGATTGGAGCGCCTGAACTTGCCTAGCTTATACTACAGACGGGCAAGGGGGGACCTAGTTGAGGTTTATAAGCATCTCAGGGGGCACTACTCAGTTGAGTGTCCTTACTTGGAGCTGGCGGACGCTCGCCCCACAAGGGGTCACAGCTCAAGATTGAAGAAGCCGCAAGTCCGGAAAACCGTGAGGGCAAACTTTTTCGGAGTGAGGGTTGTAAACTCTTGGAACAATCTACCAGAGAGTGTTGTGACGGCACCGAGTGTGAGCTCTTTCAAGAGAAGACTTGACCAACACTGGAGCGGGTTCAGGTACATTCAGGAGCCGGTGCATGTCCAGTATTTGCCAACAGTGCGTGACAGAGACGTGACCGATCGCCCGGGCGGCTAACAAGCCGATCAGTGGCGAAGAGGATAAAAGTAAAGTAAAAGAGAGGAGGGAGGCAGAGGAAAGAAGGAAGAGAAAGTTGGAGGAGTCTGTGAGGAGGGAGAAGAATAAGAAATAATAATAATAAATAATAACAAAAGAAAAAAAAGAATAATTGTGAATTCATATTACGATTTTACAGAATAAAAATACTCTAACTGTATATATCTCCGCGTTCATGAATGAATATATTTTGAGATGACACTTAATATTACTTCATATAGAAATATCTAAATTTTAAATGAAAAAGTATTTTATCTGGTAAACTAAATTGGAATATTTCATTTGCATATTTTGTCAGGAAGCACTTTGATATAAAGTGAATGTACAGAGTGATAGCTGGCGCGGGAAACCTGCCACAGTAAACAAACGGTGGCTGTTGTCAGGTGTGTCTGAGGCTTATATCTGCTTGTATTTACTTCTAGTTATTTTACAGCATAGGATCCTACAGTTCATATATATTGAATGGTTAATATATTGAACCCTTGGTGTGCCTCTGGTGCTGCAGAACATATTGGCTGTGAGGCTATGGTACAACACCTTCCCTTCCTCGGGTTAGGGTCGCCTCGTGCCCAACACAACTCATACCCAAGATAATTCATACCCAACACAACTCATACCCAACACAACTCATACCCAACACAACTCATACCCAACACAACTCATACCCAACACAACTCATACCCAACACAATTCATACCCAACACAACTCATACCCAACACAACTCATACCCAACACAACTCATACCCAAGATAATTCATACCCAACTCACCAGATATCTCGTACCTATCTCATGCTTTGATTTTTTGGAGATGGAAGCACAGGCTTTATGTAGTACTGCAGAATACAAAGTAACCACAATTAGACAATGAAGGTGGCATGTTGATGACAACACTTCTCTAGAGGCAGGCTAGAATGGTTGCTTATAACAATGTACACGATCGGGTCAGAGTAGTGATAGGATGCTGCCAAAAGGATAATGATGACATCAGAAATGAGGCTCACAAATTTGCAGAAATGTATCCCATGATTAACAACCGTAAGTAAGAACTGGACGTATTATTGTGTTGTAAATTCTCAGCTTTGTTGTTCTTGATACAGATCTTCGTTTAGTCTGCCCTGAAGACTGTAGTAGCCTCTATTACCAGCTCCAATCCTGGCTAGAATTTACATTGGTTGGTATTATTTTACTTTAGGACATTTAGATCTCCCTATTCTGAGCATTTTGAACCCCAAGTATACTGGGCGGAAATGCGTAATAACGACATAATTGAATTTAATTGATTTTACGTAGTTTTCGGTCTTCGTCTGAGATGTTATTGGTGCATGACGCATGCACAATATTGACTGACGTCATCCATTTGTGACCAGTGATGTATCAATATCATCACGCACACTTTTTTCGACCAATCACATTGGATTTTATCAAAGGAAGCAGACTGGGTACGATTTTAATTTCATTGACCAGTCTCACAATGGCCGTGTGGACGTTGGTTGTCATTTGTGCTCCTACAATTATTTTAAGTTTATTACTGAGTTTTACGAGAAAGACGATCATTCTACCTAATTCTTACGTATCCTGGTCCTTCTACTTCTAACTCGGGTAGTGTACCTTCAGACATGGCGCACCCCAAAGTTTTAAACTACTGAAACATTTAGGTTAGTTTAAGCTAGGCCTACCGGGGGTCTGGGGGCAGAGCCCTCTGCTAGTGGTTAGGTTAGGTTAGGTTTTGATTGGTCAGATGACTTGTTTTTGTTTTCTCCCCCACCCAAAAACGCTGATTTCCCAGGCTCTCCCCCATTATTGTTGGGGGGGGGGGGACAAAAACGAGCAATTTCCGACAAAAATGAAGGTCAGATTAGTTTAAACTCACCAAAATGCACTGGAAAAACATATTGGTCAACCCCGAGGGACTCATGTCCTAAAGTAAAAATTTACCCATTGGTTTTACATAATTTCTTCTTCAGTCTTGTTTTCTTATGTCATAAGTGATCCAGGGTATTTAAAGGACTCAATTTTTTTAAATATTCATTCCACTTATACCGATACGGTATGTTGTGGGTTTTTCCTTTGGTTTCATTCCAGGTCAATTTATAGTACCGTAATACAGTACACCGGTGTTTCTCTTGCTGTTTTTAATGTGTATTTTGCAATGTTTAGATAATTCTAAGACATTTATCTTCTATGATATTTCTGCCGGAAATAAAGGATATCCGAGATAATGAAGCCATCTTGGATCTAAAATAAAATTCAAGCGAGCAGCGGTGGGGGGGGCTTATACCGAGCTGTGATTGGTTGGTCCAAAATCATACCCACCAATTAATGTCCAAAGAACAACTGTGCCTGTGTCAGACTCTTGCGTATGTGTAATGCAGCATATTAACCAACACTGGGACAGTGATAACATCAACATGAACTTAAAAAATATACGATTTTCCAAAAATTTATTGTGATTTCACCGAAAGTAATCATGAGCAGAAGAAATACTGTAGAAGAAAAGTGTCTTTGAATTATCCAAGCTACTGATTCCAAAACTTAATATCCTAAAAATTGCTGGATGACCGAAACGATAATAATACCGTTGAAACTGTTTTTACTATGGTGAACGAATTGACCTTCATTTCTGGCACAACTCAATAGTTTCTGAGATAAGCCCCTCCTCCCTTCTCAGAATCTAGGGATTTTCTCTAAAAATCAAGGTAAAAAGTGTTCAAAACACATTGAAAACCATCGGAAAAAAGTTTTGAACCTAACCTAATTAAGCCAAACCTAACTGGGGAGCTCCACAGTCGTTTGATGTTCTGGGTGTGTACCGCCACGTACAAACATACTGTACATAATAAAATGTTAAATATCTCGCTTAAACATAATTTGCGCCAGAAATGCCGTTGAAGAAAAGTGTCTTAGAAATGTCAAAACTACTGATTGCACCTAAAAAATTCCCAAGATACGTTTAGTGGCAACAAGTGAAATAATAATTTTTTTAGTGAGTGCGCTCTGATTGGCTAATCGTCCATTAACGGCAAACAATGCGAGAACTAGATTTGACTGTGATTCTGGCTGCATTTGGCATTTATTTAGACGTGAGTCGATCATTGTGTAGCTATAAACATACCTAACCATATTTCTGTTGTGCGTGGAAACTACTCACAAAAATAGAGGTAAAGATTCATTTTAGGTTGAACATGGAATTTCATATTTTATTTGTATAGGGAGAAAGCCAAAAAACTATAACTGTACAGTATTCTATTATGTTTCCGGCATAAATTTATATTTTTTGAGTATTTTAACCGATAAGAACCTCCACAGTTGCCAACAATATTGGCTATTCAAAGTGGGCAGTAGAGGGAAAATGTGGGGTAAAACTCTAAAAAGAACACAAAACAAGTCTTTGAAAACCTAGCCTAATTTACTTTTTACTTTTACCCGCTTCACCACTGATGGGCTCGTTAGCTGCTTGGGCAATTGACCACGTCTCTTGTTACACACTGTTGGCAAGTACTGGGCATGCCCTGGCTCCTGAATGTACCTGAACCTGCTCCAGTTTTGGTCAAGTCTGGCCTTGAATGAGCTCACGCTCGGTGCTGTCACAACACACACTGGCAGATTTTTCCAAGAGTTCACAACTTTCACTCCGAAAAAGTTTGCCCTCACAGTTTTCTGGACTTGCGGCTTCTTCAACCTTGAACTGTGACCCCTTGTGGGGTGGGTGTCCGCCAGTTCCAGGTATAGTATGTATACTCGCACCAAAAAGTATCGGTGCAGGGTGAGATCGACGACTTCGGAAACGATACGTATACACTGTGATATGTCGGGAAGGTTAGTAAGTGTATCCTCATAATCCCCCCCACTAGGTGTTGCCATATGGCTGACAATCAGTGTGTTTGTTTCCTCTTTACGGATTGTTGCTTTGTGTCGACTGAATGATGAGCGAGGGTTCAGTCTCGGTGAACGTGGGTATAAAACAGAGGCAATATGAAGCAGTAGAGATCTACACATGCCAGACGACATGGAAACCTCAGAGGGAACACGAGGAGCTATTAATGCCCTTCATAACGAAGGGTACGGCGTCACAGATATTAGCCGGCTGGTTGGTGTCCACAGGAACACCGCTGCACGATTGATTCGGCGATACCTCGAAACTGGTGCTACAGACGACAGGTCTCCGAGTGGCCGTCCACGTTGCACCACCCATCAAGATGACCAGGTTGAGTGGTTTATTTTGTAACATAAATTAATGTGGCAATATTCACAAGTATCACAAATAATTTTGTTAACAGGGAGCTCCTCATATTTCATACTGTCTATTTATCACTTCCCGACCTTATTTATAACGGTTTGTTTCACTTGACCAGGCCATAGTAACTGCTCAGCAGGATTACAGGGCTGCCAACATACGGCTGGAACAACTCGCCTTTCCCAATACCTATCGTCACTGGTCTCAAATTGTTCGCACTACAGTATGCACCGATACTTTTTGTTGCACGTGTACATTTGACTGAGTAGTGCCCCCTGAGATGTTTATACTGTACACTTAGATTTGGTCACCCCTTGCCCATCTGTAGTATATGCTTGGCAGTTGCAAGTGTTCTAATCTCTCTGGGTAGCTGAGGTTCCACAGAGCAGGCACCAGTCTGGTGGCCTTCCTTTGGATATTTTTAATCAATTGACAGTCTGAAAATACCATACCGCCACAAGGAGTTGTTTGATTTCGTTCAATAAGCTAATAGAACCTGACCTAACCAACCAAAAGAAACCTACCCAACCTTACCTAACTTCCTAGCCAAGGGGGGGGACCCCATCATATTAAACAAAAAGTTCTTAGCCAATCAGAGCTCACTCACGGTATATTAGCGTTAGTATGAACTTAGCCTGTAATTGCAAAATATCCACTACGATCTGTTTTTGAAGTTGTCTCCGATGAGATGACTTCCTCGATCAGACTGTTTTCAAAGGTTGGTTTGATGTTATTTTCAGTATTTTACCCCACATTTTCCCTGTACTTCAAAGCCCTGCCTACTTAAATAACTAATGTTTTTGGTAATTTTGTTGGTCAAAATACTAGAAAATTAAAATTTCCTACAAAAATTTCATAGAAGAAAGGTGTTTTAAAATTGTCTAAACTACATGGTAGGTACTGTATACTAAAACAAGCCAAAAGTTGTGGGGCAATTAAAAGCAATACTGTATTCCCATAATTTCTAACTGTGTCCTCTTGGTCCTGAGTACATCGCAGAATCCCTCCACATTTGTACTAATTTGCTGACTTCATTATCATAGTAACCTTTTAAAATCATTATTTTTTTTTATCATATCTCCCCCCTATTTGTCTACAGTATATCTCATATTAGGCAACTTCATTTTCCTTAACCTTTGTGGGTATAATAGGTTTTGCATCTCTGGTAACAGTTTAGTAACTCTCTGTTGGACTGCTTCCATCTTTTCAATAAGTTTGGTAATTTCTGAGAACAGAAATACCACCTGAAGGAGTTGTTCGATTTCGTTAATTTTAAAAGAGGCAGCATTTTTTTATTTTAACTACAGAGTATACTAGTATTTTTGTTAATATTTTTTAGTTTTTCTCAATCTCTGATCATAATTCATCTGTAGTAGGTAGGTAATGAAGTCTGGGGGAAATTGCGGGGTAAAATACGATGAAAAACTGATCATATGACACTAAAATGATGTTTGTACTTGAATAAATTGGGTAAAATTCTAGTTTCGGTCATCCCTGTTTTTTGAAGTGTTGTGAATGATTTTGATCTTACTTAACCAACCTAACATAACCTAGCCTAGCCACAGAACCCAGGAACTACAGTACGTAGTATATCTAACCTAACCTAAATTCCTAAGATTCCCCAGATGACAAACTAAAATAATGCCAGAAATGAATTATTTACCATAAACACTCCTCCAAAAACTCAGTAAAATTATCATCTTGGTCATTCACCTATTTGGAAGTTGAAATTATGTTTTTCCGACTGGGAAAATAACAAAAACAAAAGGTAATTTGTGATGGATATGAAGGTCAGAATCGTTTAAAATTCATAAAAAAATGCCAGAAAAACATAATTGGTAACTTAAAATCCTAAAATTTGCTGGATGACTGAAATGATACTAATAATAAAATCTGCTGAGTCAGTGCCTGTTTTTTCTGCTCATTTTGTTTACAACTGACCCGCTTAGTTTGAGCATCCTCTCACATCTACAAAAAAACGTAAAAACACACCATGGCACTTCAACAAAGTTGCTTTCATTGGTACCAGGTTAGGGGCATTTCTTTTGTTGGTTAGGTTAGGTTCGGTTCTAGTAAATGTCGCTTCTTTTAAAACACTTACTATAATGATAAGAACATCTGGGAAAAATGAATGAAATCGAACAATTTCTTCTGGTTGTAGTGTTGTCCTCAGACATTATTATTACAGTACCTGTGCTGTAGTTTTTTTGGTAATGCAGTTAGTTTTAGTTAGTTTAGTTTAACAAATTTATTGACAAAGCTTGGAGTACAGTTTGCCTATTCTGAGTAATTCAGTCAGGCCTTGACACTGAGGGTAGGGTGGTATCACTTCTCACTGCCATGCAGGACAGAGGTTCGTACACAAAGAAATACATCATATTCATTAGCAGTGTATATAGGTCAGAGACAAGTGGGTGATATCACTGTTCACTGCCATGCAAGACAGTGGTTCATATACATTGAACGTCAGGCTTTCACTACAGCCAATGAAATCTTTCCATCTGTGCAGTTGTTAGTAAGTCACATATCAGGTGAGCAGGCAGTGTCATGCCAAAGTGTTGTTGATGGTTGCTCAACAGTCGACCCTGAGCTAAATATTGATATAGAAGAAGCTGATGCCATTATAATTCCTCATGCTGTGCAGAATGGAACCTGCAAGATCATAGTGTTGTCCTCCAACACTGATGTATTTGTGATGTTAATGTATTACTGGTGTGAACTTAAATCTTGTGGACTTACTAAGCTTTGGGTGAAAACCGGTCATGGCGATTCTACACGCTATACTGTATGTACTAACCCCTTAGTGTTTATATAAATGTGGGGTAGTACATTAATTTTATATAACTTCATCACCCCCTGTAACTTTCCACTGGCTATGAAGTTCATGTTCAGAGCACGTGATAAGTGTGCCCACGGGAAGTTGCGTCACATGGTGCTGAGCTAAGGATTAAGTAACCGGCTCTCTGGCCACCTATTGCAGGCAGTAGTTTGGTATCACTCACTAGAGGAAGACGTTATTTAGAGTCATCGTTGAGGTGACCCGTCTTCCTCAAGGGAAGACGTCGGATATATTTCCATTCTCCCTTGAGGGTCCCTACTCTCACTCAAACTCTCACATCGACAGGATGTACTAAGCAGAGCTATTTAAGATAGCCTCCATCCTCATTTAACACTCATAGCTACAGTGATAATCCTTTTTGAAAGTGTACATAGAACTCTTTTTATAATAAACAAACAAAAGGAACATATTGGATTTCACTACAGAAGATTCAATAAACTTTTATCTATATTTTAGTACGTCTAGAATATAAGGTAATGTGCTTCACAAGTGATTGTTACAAGTGGTGACAACCCAGGAAGGTTGTTACATATATGACAGCTTCACAAGTAGCTGTTATAAACAAGTAACGTCACATCAACAGATACACAAGTGGGAAAGGGTAGAGAAAATATTTATTCTCCCTGTTCCCGTGATAACTTGAAGTTTATAGTTACATGTATTCCCATACTCATTTTGGCTTCCACTGTAGGAGCAGACCTTTGTAAAGTATTGCCAGTAGTCCATACTCTAGCAGGTTGTGAATACGCTAACAAAATGGGAACAAATTGCACAGCTGAGAGCAAGCCTTGAAAAGTTCCCAAAGGATTTTGCAATAAACTGATGATTAAACCTGGAAAAGTAGATTGCAGTAAGTGAGGAATACCTTACACTGGTGTTGAAGACTGGGACCAAATGCAAAACTACGGATCTACTAAGGAATCATGTGTACGGTCAACAAAAAAATTTCTGCACCTTTATGGTGTTATACAATATGACACACCGGACCAAGAATTCTGAACAACACTCATTTACGTGGGTGATTCCTGTTAATTTCTCTGTATTAACTATATGTGATGTAAGAAACACATCATACTGGTTATACAATGCATCACACAACCAGAAATACCAACCTTACCAAATTAACATGGCCTCAGGTGGTGATCGTTGCAGAGGCCATCAGACCAAGGGATAAAGAATATTTTTTTGCTGACTGTACCATCATAGTAAAGGACTGTGTCTAGAGGAACTAGCTCAAACTAGCTATGCCTTAAGGTACCATATCTTGAGAGCATATTATGCAACTTGTCAAATGGTGTCAATCTTATCCACCAAACCAAAGACATTAGGTCCCACTCATTTTGCATTTGAGGAGGTAGGCAACCTGCTTATGCCAGTAGTAACCATCAGATCTATACCTAATGAGTATGCTTTGCATTGCAATTGTGTGAGGTGTGTAAATATTAGGTGCATCTGTCAAAGGGAGGGGAGGCCATGCTGTAAGTTTTACAAATGTCACCATATAGAAAACCTCAACTCTGGCAGAACATGTAATAATCTATCAGTTTGTATGTGAACATTAAAACTATGACCCAGAAAGATATAATTCACAATGAAATTTTATTAAATAAAGGGTTTGTTTTATTATTATGTTTTATTGACATGTTAACTGCCTAAACTGTGTGCATGTTTTATCATATAACTGAAAACAGATCATTATAAAGCTACATGAGTGTATACTAACCATTTTACTGCCTCCCCCCTCAAAAAAATTCCCATACACTAAGTACTGTATGTTATCTTGTTCATTAATGTGCTGATTGGGTCAAAAAGGTTGATGATGTCATTTCTGATTAATTGCTAGGTTGCCAGAGCCTGCTCTCAATTTTTTATGTCAAATGATCTAGTTTATGAATGTGAAGAGTAACTTAGAGCACATTTTGTACACACGGGCATCCCTATACAGCAGAAGAACTATTAGATGATAATTTGGTTTAGCTACAGTGTTTTGTTTCTTGTTTGTATGCTGAATCTTCACCAATTTTTTGGTTTTCATGCAATAGTTTTAAATCTCGTGGGGGTAAAAATATCTGAAAATCACTTGTGAATGGATTAGGTTTGTAGGGGTATCGAAATATTAAAGTTGTCTAGCACTCAGGATGGAAGGAAACTCTAATGTGGTTTTCTTGTATAATATATATAAGTTATATGATAGACAGTCTGGTGCTGTGTGGTGAGGGGCTGCTTGGTAGAGACGTGCTGTGAGTAGCTTGTTGGAGGAGGTAGATGTGCAGGAGCTTCGTTAGAGAAGATGTTGCCTGTTGCTGGCCTCCTGGTTGAATGAATGCTGGACAGCTAGGAGCTTGCTGGAGGAGGTGTTGCGTGTTCAGGAAGATGGGCCAGAATGAGAGTTGGTTGGTGAGGAAGCTCAGAGAAGGACATGCTCGCTGGTGGGAGCGAGGACCGCCAGGCAGGCGGAGGAGAGGCGAGGGTCGCCAGGCAGCGGCAGAGGAGGAGGTGTTGCTTGTTCAAGAAGATTGGTCAGATTGAATCTCAATGGAGAGACAGAGCTTATATACCCAGCAGCAGCCGCTATGAGTCATGGTGGGAAAACCCGAGAAGTAGCCGGTGAATAGTTTCGTTGCTAAGATACGGTAACATCTGGTTGGTTGCTAGGGAAGGCGGCACATTGGAATGTGATGGCAGGTGGTGGGCTGCTACGCAGTTAGTTTGTAGGGGAGACGTCCACTAGAGGTTTATTAGATTAGAGTTTTGATTGGTTCTTGGGGTCTGCTTCACATGTGGTTCTCAGAAAAAAGTTCTTGTTCTGTAATTGAATTTATAATCTATGTATAAAGATACATGTTTACAAAAATCCCATCACCAAATAACAAGAAATAAGATATTGAAGTTAAGTCAAACCTTTACTTCTCTGTTTTGTCCATGAAGCTGCTGTTGTTTATCCTTCTCTTGTTTTCTCTTTTCCAGAGGTTTGGTGGAAAGAAATTGAAGATGGATAAGCGACCTCGACCAGCAGGTGCAAGTAGTTCAGGAGCACCTAAAAAGCCTAAGTAAATATAGAAAAGTATATGTAGCACATACCATTTGTTGTTTGTAAAATAATGACATCTTTATCAAGCCTTCGACCATTACCACTACTGCAGCCAATATTGTGCTACACAGGAAAATGCCATAAAGCCTTATACTGTAACAAAAATATTTACAGTACTGTACTTTAAGTTTGTTTGCATCTCATTATTGTATACCCACTTAAATAATTTTGTGGTCTGTTCTTCCAAAAGTTAAGGAGGTCTTTCATCACTGTATGGAATAAACTAGAATGCATCTCAGTTAAGTTGAAGATAATGAAATGCATATGCAGGATGCTTACGTTATGTATGTAAACACTGCCTTGTAGTGGCCTTGATACCCTGATACAGTAAAAGTCCAAAAATCCGGATGCCAGAAATCCGGACTTTTAGGAAATTCAATTTTTTTTTTAGCGGGCTTTTGTGTGTATGTGCGCATGCGTGAGTGCCACAGCTGCACAGCCACAACAACGACCACGCGGTCGCCACTTTAAAACGAGCAATCAAACTGTGACAACGTATGTAATTTTGAGTCCTACTCTTTTCATTTACAGAGTACTGTATTGTACAAGCCCATAATAATGGCTCCTAAAGTAGATAAACTTCGTTGTGTGAAGAGAAAGAAGAACACGTTGAAATTGAGTGACAAACTTGAAATAATTAAGAAACTAGAACGTGGTGTGAGCAATACTTTTCTAATGGAAACATACGACATTGGAAAGTCTACAATTTATGATATAAAAGAGGCAAAGAATAAAATTCTAGAATTCACAGCTTTTTCCTTAAAACTGCTCGTTTTGATAAATGAAGCATGCTATATTTGCTAATGAATAAACTATCAAAATGTACCTGTTCATCTCTTCTGCCCGAGAATCCGGAAAATCCGAAAATCCGGACCAACCCAATCCCCAAGCAGTCCAGATTTTTGGACTTCTACTGTAAATTGAAAGGCATATTAAGTCAGAGGTTTTTGTCACTTTGTCACTGGTAGCTTCACTCCAGTTGTATTCTCTGGCATAAAACCATTCACCAAATGGGTCTTGAAATACAGTATAGAATGACTTTTTGGGAAGTCCTTCAGCCTTCTTTTGGGGGCTTTAGTATTTTATAAGGTTGATCTGTTAATTGTCATCTAACTGATCCTCCTTGCAGAACTATCCTCAAATGAGGTTAACTGTGTGACAGTCCCTCTTCCCAGTCTCACTAAAGCCAGAGCACAGCCAGTCAGCAATCACCACACACTAACATTAGAAGCTTCTTATAGTTCCTTTAGTAATCGAATTATGTTATGAAAGCTTCTCACTATTCCTTTCCCGCTTTTGTGGCAACAACTGGGTAAGAAGTTAGTGGTCACTCAGAATCCTTGGTTAAGTTAGTTATTTGTTCTGATTTTCTAGGGATACTTTGGTTCTTTTTGATAAAGGTTGGTGGTATTTTTCCCTCTCTACCTGAATTGCACAAGTGGTACTTGGTTCATCTTAGGTGTTATTAAACATTGCCAATGCTGGATGCTTTTTGTCAGTTGTTTATTGGAGTTGTGGATTCCAATGGCTAAGTTTCCCAGAGGGATCCACAATAACACCAGGAGATGCTCAGTGAGAGATGTTTGATGTCTTAATAGCCAAGATCAACTCCAGTTCTTTTGAGGTTGTCTTACCAGTCTTGGAGGGTTTGCAGTGCATCCTCCTTCATTTTTAACTGGCATTGGAATGTAAGAGGTGCCTGGCAATGGACATTAAGCCAAAAATGGAGGATTGATCCTGAAATCCCTTTTTCAGACAGAGCCCATAGCCAGGTGGCTCAGATACTCATCCCCGACTTTTGGGGTTTGTCTTGTCAGCTGGAACTGATATGTTTTACATATATGAACCAATTTTTGCTTAGAGTCATAGCTTGCCTTTGTTTGGTGACTGGGCATACATTTGTTTTAAGGAGACTTCTAAACCTTTTGTCCTTCCATGGAGGGAAGGGCAGTTGGTGTATGTGGTCCCCTCATTTGAGACTGGTTGTAGAGTGGGAAAGAAAGGATGATCAGTTAGACTATAAGTAACAGATCAACCCAAGTAGATACCAGGTGTGCATACAAAGGACTCAAGGATGTTGTGATAAATTGCCCCATATTACAAGAGCTGTCTTTGGTTATACAGTAGGTTCTGCCAGATAAACAGATTTCACAATCAATCCTCCTTTTCTTAGAATTTTTGTTCAGCATTTATTTTGAAAAATTTTAAACAAATATAGATGTCACTTGGCAAGTTTGTTGGGTGAAAAATAACCTTAAAGGTCATGTGAGTAGTAGCTCAATTCCCCTCTTGTCTTTAATTCCCAGTAAGCAACTTGTACTATTAGGGATATTTGGCCACTCTTCATTATCCAGCCAGATTGATGGTTATTTATTAGATAATTGAAAAGATGGAAAAATTAAGACTATTTTATGAGGAGTCGCTTCAGAACCATCAGATAGAAGTGTCTAAGTTTTCAAACATTAGTACAAAAAAAATGTGTACGTGACTCTCTTTTCATTGGTGCATCATATGTTGAAATAATTTCTGCTGTGTAAGAAGAGTAATGATTTAAAATGAAAAGTCTATAGCCAGCCTAATAACCAGTCTCTCAACCATCAGGAGTGTAATATCCCTCCCTGAAATGTAAAAATAATTCATATAGGTTCATTTATCCAGTTATAAACTTTTTAAAAGTGTATGAGATGTACTGTACTGTACTGTACTGTATATAATAACTGGTAACTCCAAACCAACTGAACTGAAGGCAAGAGGAACACGTGATGGCCGTCAAGTAGTGCTTGTTGCGTTAAAGCAAGTTACGTTTAAAAGGATTCACTGTTTTTCAAATAGGCATAACAATGTGCCACATTTGTTTCATCACAAAAAATGACTTGAATATGTTTACAATTTAAAAAAAAATGATGAAAAGGACACATCAGTGCTGTGTCATAAATAAATCAATGTAATTTTTTCTGAAATCAGAAAATTTCAATTCATTTAGCTGTTTTGTGGCAGCTTTGGCTTGCTTTCTGTACTCTCAGAATTTCAGTGAATATCTTAAAATTTTGGTAGAACTTGCAACACACTGGCAGTGCTGGCCTTGAACCCCTTAATTGCCAACACATGCATCAGTTGGTGTTACTGGACACTTTCATATGTCTGGCAGCTGTGTGAGCTGTCTTTGCTGTCACACTTAGACTATTAAGGATTATTTTGGTGTTTCTAACTTAATTAAAATGATTTTATAGACTCCGGCATGAACATGTCTTACGTGTTTAAAAAAAATTGGGTTCCATCATTATATCTTGTAAATATATTTTGTTTATGGCTCTTTTATGATGCAGTCTTGTAGAGACTTTATTCGGGATCATTGTGGTATCAACTTTGTCTTTCTAACACAATTAGAACAGATGCCATGGATAAAAGTTTATACATTACTTCTTTGCTAGCTGTAAATATTTTTGCTCGTGGTCTCAACTTGATATAAGTGAATTGTACAAAGTAGAAGAGTGTTTTTTGTGGAGTTGTACTATGGTATGTCTATTGATAAAAGTAGAAGTACAGGAGGCCCTTCAAATTCGCGGGGGTTAGGTTCTCAAAATGACCTTGAATCGCCAAATCCGCAAATAACATTTGCTGATGGGGGGGGGGTACATTTTTACTTGTGTTCAAAGAAATATATAATCCCCTTATGTGTTTGTCCGTAGGACAATTATTTCTTTTACTTGTATTGTAAATATGTGTGTGTGTGTGTGTGTAGACACACAAACACAAAACACGTACAAATAAATAATGCAGTAAGTCCTCACTTAACGTCGGCCTGCTTAACGTTATTTCGGTACAGTGAGTTCTGCTATAACGCGTGTTTTGATAACGCGAATTTGCTCTAACGCGATTTATGAATTCGGAACAATATTTGTATAACGCGAACGCTTGTTTGCTATAACGCGATTTTGGCTTACTATTTCTCCAATTTTGTGGTATTAACTGTGAATATGGTAAAGAAGAATATCTCCAAAAAGCGTTCTGATGATAGAATTCCCGGTGATTATCGTAAAAGAAAGGATATAACACTTGAAGAGAAGCTCGATGTTATCAACCTCAAAATCACCCTTCTCCCCATCAAGTTACATTCATATTTTTTCAAGGTAAAGTGTTAAATTTACTGTATGATTTCATTATTAGATATGAATGTAACATTTATTTAGACTGTGCTATCCTTTGTGTTAGGCTAACTACTAAATTTTTTCGATTTCGAGTAATCTGCACCTAACCCTATTTTCTCCATAAGCCCTGTTATTTCTATTACGCGATTTTCTATAACACGATATTTTACAAGAACACAATTATCGCGTTATAGCAGAACTACCTGTACTATGTTTGAGTCGTCACGGACTACTTTTTACCTTTTTCACAATATTTATTTAGGATGGTGTGTGCATGTAAATGAGTAAAAATAAATGAAGAAAGTTACTACAGGTTGACAACCCTTTATCCGAAAACCGAAAAGCTCTGAAAACCGAAAAAAAAATTTGAAGGGGGAGGGAGGGAGCGGGGGGTCATTATTTATTTATTTATTTTTTTTTTTTTAACAGGGATTAGCCCACCCAGGCATAGATCACTGACCCACATCGGGGCCTGGGTGGCAAAAATGTAATAGTAATACAGATAGACCCCGACTTACGACGGGGTTAGGGACTCAAATCCAGGTCGTAAGTCCGACATAGATATTTTTATTTATTTTTTTTTTAAATAAATAATCTACAATGAAATTCAGTACAGTAAAAGTAATGAATAATGAGGAATGGATACAGTGTGACTGAGCACTTACCTTTAATGTAGTCAGCTGAATGCACATGGGGCCCCCATAATTTTCTAATTATACATGGAGACTACATTAACTGGAAACGTTTCGGTATAGAAAATGCGTGTGTCATTTGAATTTTTTTTTTTTATCTATGTCGTAAGTCCCGACGG